ACACACACACACACACACACACACACACACACATTGTTTAGCACAGGCAGATCGTATGCGTAACGTCTCAGAGACAAATGATAGGCAATATATTTGGTTCTATGTGTCAAGCGCTTGCCCTTCTGGATGGAATTTCGCTTATTCAGTCGTTTGGATGACTAGAAGAAACCTTGATGAATGATAGCAAGAAATAAAGGACGACTCATGGGCTCCAAAAAATCAAGACACTATCGTTCTAGAATAAGAAAACTTTCGTCTAATTGGCAACAGATTGCGAATTCAAATGGCGTTTATTTCGATTAATAAACTACATTATAAGCCTCCACAGTTTATCGCCTCATCGTGGCTGGGAGGTATCTAAGTGTCGGACTGCGATGTACAGCGGGGAAAATCGCCCACCCAGCAGGGTCTCCCAAGCCGAGAAGGAGTCCGACGTTTCAATCAGAAAGCCTAGCTAAGAGTAAACCAATACCAGGCTCCGCCACCGCCCTGGTATCAACGCTGCATGCTGGTAAATCTCCCTCTAATTCACAAGGGCTGCAGCTGCCCGTGGTGGTGAAGACCTGGAGCAGACTTTGGGGAGGCTGACCTCGGGATTCCAGGGAACCACAATGGCTTAGCCAGCAAATCTCCAAAAAATGGTGATTATGCTGGGCCCGCACAACTCGTGAGGACGGGTCGCTCAAGTATCGAGTAAGTAAGTAAGTTATAAACCGAGACATGGTTGTCTAAAGCTGAAATGATAAATTAAATTATTCATGGCGAGATACGAGTTATATATGACTCTTGTCGTTGTGAATGGAACCACAAAACAAATAAATGAAGAAAGACTAAGACCATAAATAATATCACAAAGAAGACGAGGAATTCAATCAAGGTGTAAAAAAGTCACCTCAATCTCGCAGGAGGAGTGCTTCGTTTGGTCAATTGTAACCCACGTGCCATTATTCCAGAAAGCACAAGGTATATGAATAATGTAATCATGTAAATTTCTAGCGTATTCTAAACAAAAATATGAGACTGTTGAAAGGTGGAAAAACGAAAAACATTAAAATTTCGAAAAAAATCAATAATTTGTCTAGATAATAGTAAATTATCTAATTGATATACTGAGGGAGAAATCCATATTGACAGTTCGGTACTACCAGCACTTCACTATTAGGCACCGATGTGAGTACGCCTTTCCTTTAATCATGCCGAAAATTCTGCATACTACTAAAAAAAAAAGACGTCGTATAAAGTATTACTGATACTATACCAGACTGGACTGCACAGTGTAGATCACTGGAAATAATATCGTCTGCGCTTTTCACAGTAGTCACTTCGAAAGCGAAAAACAACTGATCCAATGAAGTGGCAAGAGGTGACGACAACGGGACTATGAGGACGGAAGAGCTGACTTCAAAAGGACGTCAGGAACGAAAAGAAAAATATGTCAGAGACGGCACATTGAGAAGCTCGCCGACTTCGACAGGTGAATCAGATAAATCATCGGTGTTCAAGTGAATAATCTGCAGGCGGTTAGTTTCGATGTCATATGTAACGTCTCCAAGCAACGGTAGAGGTTAAAAACGAACAAAACGCAACCATATGCTTGTCCAGTAGGGTGGTCGACTTAAAGAGTTCCCCGCTCCGCATTTGCGAATTGTTGTTCAAAGTCACAATCATATCCACGCACATGTCTGTGTCTGCCGATTGTGCGTTATGCGCCGAGCCCAACAAGAACCATGTGATAAAATGACTGAAATATATGGACGGGAGGTGAATAGGAGTCACGTATGATAAACAAGCAACTATTTCAGAAGATCCCAAAAAGTTTTATCTGTAAATGCTTAGATATATAAGTAATTTTTAAACGCGAACAAACCTGCTCATCGAAAGAAAATTGCCAAGTCAATGGATTAGCGGCCGGAGAACCTGGTCGTCCATTTGTTAACCATAAGTCATATTCAACCAAAACATCGGATTTCGATTGGGTCCAGTTGCACGAACTGTCAAGTTTGCAGGCCACTAGTACTATGTACCTGCAACTACGTAAAAGTTGACTACTTGTAGTTTGCCTAAAAATTACAAACCAAAACGAAAACTTTACAAACTCTTTCCTCCATAATATCGAATGAGATGAGCGATGTAACTAAATGTAACAAATGACTACATAAATGTAATCATAAAAACAGAAACTCTGCATTTATCAATCCAATTAAAGTGCATCATCTCCTATAGGTCCACAAAACCTTTGAACAAAGATAGGATCCATAATTTATCTCATTCTGTTGCGCAGCTGAGTTTAAACCGACTTCCAAAGTGTTAAAGGTTTTGTATCGGTTATTTAATCACATAACATAAAAATAAGCATGTCATTTGTACCACTAGTCGTCCCGTTGATCGCCGAGTGACTCGAGCGTGAGCCGGTAAATCTTTTATTTTTCGCTGTCGCGTGTAAAAGTAGCCCAGTAGGATCTGCTCACTCTGAGACTCATTGAGCATCATACCTTTCTTCTAAGGTTTTCGCGAAGAGCTCTGACCATCGGGGCGGTGGTGTTCTAGCAGTACATCACAAAAAATCTAGTCACTAACGGCTCTTGTCCATCGGTTGTTTTTCATATAGACTACGTGTTCGGTCCAATTTAACTTCGACAGCTTGGCGTATAGAATGGCTTCTTTGATTTTCGATCACTGACGCCGATTGGAGCATCGGATCATTCCCTCGTGTGACACGATATACTCCTAGCATCGTCCTTTTGACTACACGTCCAATAACGTTGAGTGATCTTTCATCCTGCTTTAGAAACGACCAGGTTTTTGACGCATACGTTAAGGAAGGACATATCGTTGAGTCGAAAAAGTGGGTATGGATTCGGGTGTTCTTTGTTCCCTTCATTACATCCTGGATGCTCTTGAAAACTCCCCGAACAGCTAGTTCCCTTTTGCTCAAGTCTGGATCTATTTCGTTCGTCATGTTGATTTCCCGTCCTAGACAGACGTAAATAGAGTATTTGAAGATATTTGTTCCGCTGAGGGTGAATGGGGTATAAGTAACACATCGGTTCCTCATGGAAATCGTTTTGTGAAATTTAGTTGAACATCAATCTTTCTACAGGATTCATCAAAGTCGGGAAGCATTCGTTCCGCTTGGCTAATGTTTGGTGTTATAAGGACGATGTCATCAGCAAACCGAAGATAATGTAACTGCCGACCACCGATTTTCACTCCCATGTTGCTCTGTTCCAATGTTCGCACGACGTCCTCGAGGATGACTGCAAATAATTTTGGCGAGATGGTATCCTCTTGCCTAACCGCTCTTTTAACACCAAGTTGATATCATTGCAGAATGGTGAAGTTTTTGGTTTTAAAATTTTTATTCAACCGGTATTACGACATATCCATCCTGCTTTATTTCATACGATGACAGGAGGAACTGGTTATTGAAGAGAACTGTGTTGAATTCGTCAATGATTTCCTCTATTGCCTTTCTGGACGGCCCGAGCGTCGAAATGCAATAATCTTAGTTTTGCAATTGGTGATGCCTCAACAGTCTTTGCAAATGCTTTTCCCAGCTTCTGCAGCTTCGACCATAACTCCTCCTCTTCTCTCCTTAAGACCTTTCATCGCCTGTCTACACTGTTTCGCAAGTTCGGACGTGAATTGGCTGTTGCCTACAGCTCGAAGGATTTCATGCTGACGTATCAGTTCGAGTGTTTCTGGAGAAGTCTTTTGGTGACTTTCGAACTCTCAGCTTTAATAGCGCTGTGAAGATGCTGGATGACTCGATCGTATTCCTCGTCGATGTTATCGAGAACGGCATCTTTCCAACAGCCGACTGAGGAAGTGAATAAATCCGTCTGTGGCAGTTTTGAGAATTCATTTTTAAATCAAGCGTCTTTTTCTCCTCTAAATGAAAAATGAAACCTTGCACGAAGGAGGTTGTAGTCTCATCGCGTATAGAATTTGGTAACAACAGAAACATCGGTTAGCCAACACTTTCGATTTACTGTGATGTGGTCCATTTTGTCATGGTGGTCTCCATTAGGAGAGTCCCACGTCCAGAGTTCAGGGTGAGCCTCTGGAACTGCGAATTGCCAGGAATAGTTTTGGCATTCATGATAAAGTCAGATACCTGCTCACCCTGCTCTTTCCATTCCAATCCGTGGGGTGCCAGTGTAACATAGTTCAGACGTTCTTGTGGGTACAACCTTAGCGCTAAAGTCTTCAATAATGACTTAGAAGAACGATAGCCCTCTCTGTAGAACTTCTCGACGTTCATGTAGAACGTTCGACTTCGTCTTCTTGACAGCATGATTTCGGTACGTAAACGGCGAAGATTGCCAAAGCCGGTATTGATCCAAACCGCTTCAATATTAAACCTCGGAATCGGATTGTTAGTTGTTCGAATGATTCGATGTTCATGGCCAAACTCATGTTGACGAGAACACAAACACCGCCAACTGCTCTACCATCACATGTCTCGAGGAACAATTCTTCTTCGGTCTCATAGACGGCGTTGAATGGGTGGCATCGTCTCGTCATGGCCAGGCCGACGACGCCACACCTTATCCTTCTTGCTTGCATGATCACTTCTATCGTGGACTCGGATGGAAGTGTTCTCGCAATATAGGAACAGATCGTCACCTTAGTCTTCCGCGATTCAAGCAGCATAGAATGGCCCTGAGCTTCTAGCAGCATCTCCATACTCGTCCTACCCAACACTGCCGAATTGGGGGCTCTTTCTGGGTCAAGGGAATGAGGCCCGTTTACTTTACTGTGGTTGGTTTTTTGTTACTCATGCAGAGCTTGCCGAGTTCTGAATGTGGGGGCTGGGTATACTCACGGGTAGCTTGGCAGTCTCTCCAAAAGTGGACATGAATCTTATTTGTTGAAGGCGACTGCTGACCGCTCTCATACAATTCTGTCACTTGGTTGCAGGCTTATCGCCGAATTGAATCGTAGAGTACAATACGTATAAACGAGAACACCCCCATGCACGCATGCAAGAATACGTCTTAATAAATACAAAAAGTATATGCCAAATCGGCGCAGTAGAAAGAGAGATTCCATCCTCTGGTTCCACCTGCGTCTCGCGGAAGCAAAGGTCGCCTTTAGTCCGCGATTAATTTCCTATCCGCTACCTAGGAAAGTGCCACGTATTTCTTATATTTTCAACATATTTTTTTCGTTCGACTAGATCTAATTCTTTGATGACATAGATCTATGTATCATGTAAATCATGTAAGAACCAGATTTGTCTACGTTAACGATAAGCTGTGATGAGAGAAAGCATGGAATAAAACAGTAATATAATGTATAAATAGTATAGTAAGCAGTAATAAATAGCAATATAAACAGTACCAGTGAATTAAAACTGGTAATTATGTGATTAAAAAGACAAACCAGTATTCAGCAGTAGACGGTTCTTCAACTTGCATTGTTAGCTGGCAACCTGGCACCACCACATTTGGGTCATCTTCTTCCTGTTAACAAATCAACATATCATAAATACTATGAAGTAATCAAATACTGGGCATTACTTGGATACTTAGATGCTCAGTGTTCATTGGTTGTGCGAGCTCCAGCATAATTTCCACTTTTCCGGAGTTTTGTTGGTCTAGCCATTGTAGTTCCCTCGAGTCCCGAGGTCAGCCAAGCTAAAGTCTGCCCGAACTCGTCACCACCATAGGCAGTCGCTGCACTTGAGGATAAAATAAAAGGGAGATTTGCCACCATACTACAAGTTTCATACTGGGACCGTGGTGGATCCTGGTACTGGTTTAGGATACTGGGCACTACAAAAAACCAACGTAAAAATACATACATGACATAATCGACCTTTCGAACAAGGAACCCATCGAAAGACGTCACCACGAGAACCATCCGTAAAACATCGAGAATCATAACCAAGTTTGCTGATGTCCTAAAACTTTTGAAAGTTACATTTAGTGAAGCTCTTTCAAAAAAAATGAAGTAATACATTCACTGGATAATACCGAGCTGTATAGAACAAGAGCATTACCTTCATCATTGTGCCGCATGACACTGAATACTGCGATTCACTGTGAAACGATCCTATCAATGAATGTGGGACTAAAGCGAATAAGAATTGTCCTGAAGATAAAAAGCCTTAGAAAACGGCACTACATCACAATTTAAAGCCAGGATTCCACTAAAACAGTGTTTAAAAAACGTTCAAAAATAAACTTGGGTTAGTAGCCGTCATACCAGAGATACGCAGTTACAACTACAGACCGCTTGGGAGGCTCCAAATACTAGAAAGTCAGTAGCCGAGGCTAGTAGGATCCAGTTTCAATGCACCTATATGTCTTCCCTACAATATGAAAGAATCCCGCAGAATAATTCTAAGACATACCAGTAGAGCTGAAGACATTCCTTGACGTAATATTGCCAAACACGAAACCACGAGTATTGTCCCGATCTAACGCATCTGTTTGTTGAAATCCGAACTTGCTTACGAACTTCACATGCTCTAGAGTCGTATTCCACACACCTTAAACGACAGCCAACAGCACAACCTTGTGGGAAAATCTGATGATTTCAGAAATCCTATGATCAGACCACCTTCTACATGAATTCCTTCTATAATTGCTGATGAACGCATCGAGACAATAACTGATAATAAGGCCCATTTCGTTCTGATCATCTCGACCACATTCTAAAACCTAACAAAGATAAAGCCAGACACAGCACTAACAAATTTTTGAGGAAACCCATTCTATATAATGAACATCGATCTACACTATCGATTGACGTCAACGGTACGTAAATGTGCGTGCAACAATGGGGCAGCAAACTATCCGTAGAGCATACTGGAGTGATTCGGAAGAGAAGTATCGCCGCGCGTTAACATCTTGACGATATCAGAACGAATGCGTAGGGCCTCCTTGCAGAAATGTTACATTTGTAATATATCCTTCCCCTTTGGTGTTTCTAAGTGAGATTCTTCGATCGACGACTCCTGAACAATACTTGGAAGAACAGTAGTGTTAGAAGCTCTAAAGCTCGGCGCTGATCCATCCCTGAGGGATACGCTATGCATTCGAATTCATTTTACAATGGCTCGCGGTGGACCACCGATGTATCGTGCCAGCGCTGCTATCCTCCCAGAACGATGTGGTACCAATTCGCCGACCCCGGTGCGTTGAAGGGCGCGGTGGGCCTGTGGCGCGAGTAGCTATCCCATGTGTATTGCACGGCACCTCCGATCGCAGCGCTACCCGAGCCTATTTCAAATAGATGCAGAACATATTTTTGAAATATTTATTTTTGGCACGGATTTCTTGAAATTTTATGAATCCTATAAATAAAAAGGCATGGAGGGTAGAAATGGAATCCTAGTTGATTGCCGTTTACATGCGGTTATTCCTCGATCGCTATCATGTTCTAGTTGAGACGAAAAAAAGTTAAAAGCAGCTAAATCACGCTGTTCATAAATCATGGAATTTCGATTCGAGAAGATGGCTCACTGAGGAAGACCTGGC